TTATTTGGCGAGACCAGATCCGCCCAAGCTACCTCCTAGAGCGCTACACCAAGGGGAAAGGGCAGCCTCCGCCTGTGTTCAACCCAGAGGAAGACTCTGTTTTATACAATGGGGAAGAAATCAACCTGAAAACCTTTGGTGAGAAGCTCAGCACACCACCAGAACGCACAGACACAGGCCCCTCAAAGCAGAGAGGCTCCAGAATTCAAGAGCTGAAGATGGAGGGGAGACGGGGGAGGACAAGGAGCCACCACGGAGGGCAGCCCACCCTCTCCACATGCAATCCTGGCCCCCACCAGGCTGGTATGAGGGTGCCTAGGATAGGAGGATGAATGACCCCAAGATCCCTTCCCTCCACTCCAGAGCCCGAACCCCTTACTGTTCCTGGTTTGGGACCCAACAAGGAACGCCTTGCACTGCACATCCTGAATACCCTGGGCCTGGTACCTGAGCATGTAGAGACACGCACGCTGTACAGTAAGAGCCAGCCAGGCATCGACCAGGTATGAGCCTGGAGGGGCCACTCCCACCTCCTGAGGGCGAGCTGGACCAGGAGATAGGGGTGCCCACCCACCCAGGACAGAGCCCACCAAGGGGAAGAACATGACATTTGGATATGTATATGCACAGGAGACAAGCACGTTTTGCACATCATAGTGGAGAAGTTTGAGTGATGACACTTAGAATAGAGAATTTCAGAGCTGGAAAGTTATCTACAAGAAATGGAGGCCACACAGCAGTGAAAAGTGCTAGGGAGCCTTACCAGCCAACACCCCCGTGGCCTAGTCTTTCCAGAGGGGTGGGGAGGAGACACCTCACATCAGTGTAGACATTTCAACCCTGGTTCTGATTAATTGCAGGCTGCTTACTCCATGGCAAGGAACCCCAAACAGAGGGACACAGATCCCCAAGGGCATCCTAATTATCCTTACCTTCCAGCTACCAAAATGGCTCAGCTAATTCTCCAAATCTCTCAAACTGAGGCTACATTCTACATAAAGTCCTTGCTGATCATTTTTTATAACCATTCTCATTAAACCTGTTTTGTCAACTGGGTCAACTTCCAAAGAACAAAATCAGGTCAGGTGGTTTGGAGGACAGATCATAATTACTCCTTTTCCAAGGCTGGCTTGCTGCCCTTTGACTTCTCTTTTTCTTACCATTTTCATCCCTTACCATTTTCCTGAAACCTCTGGGCTTTGTGGCTAGCTTCATTAATGTCTTAGGCTGTGGTCTTGAAACAAAATGACTGGATCGAGCACCCAGTTTACTCTTACTGTGCTGCTTTAAAAAGTGAAGGCTCAACTCCCTTATGGAGCCTGTCCTCAGGTCACCCGGCACGCTCTGTTGAGTGGTTTTAAACCTCAGGATCTGTCCTAAGTGGAATCCTGGGCCACGTCATCAGCCTCGGAGACACCATACCCCACCACACTGCAGACTTCCCCAGCCAAAACAAAGGAAAAAAATAAAAACTGGAGGGTGGCCACCTGCCCCAACCCCCTGTGGTGGGAACAGTGCCTCATCAGACCTGAGAACAGAGGCCAGCAGTCCCAAACCAGAGAATCCACCCTGGCTCTAGGGAAAGTTGCAAATATGGGTGGACATCTTCCCCAAGAAGCTGGGGGCTCCTGGGCCTCAAGTCGACATCAGTCCCAGGAAGCCTAAACGGTGAGTGACAGCCCTGTCCCTACTGCACTGTGGTTTAGCCCCGAGGGTGCAGGGCACCACTGTCCTCCAACGCTGAGTGGGAGGAGCTCTTCTCTGTTGGGAACAGAGGAAGCTCTACTGGAGCTTTCTACCTCAGTCCCTCCAATTCAGCCAGAACATGGAGGGCGGTCTCCAGGCCTTTCCTTCCTCCAGGGCTGGGGCTGGGGAGCTATTTCTCAGCAAAGCTTCAGAGCACGGTGGCTGCAGGTATGAGCTGCGCTGCATTATCTGGAAAACTGCCCAAGTGGACCTGGTGCAGGAGACCTTCAGTAGAGAAAGGATGAGTGACATCTACATCAAAGGGTGAGGGGAAGAAAGAGGCTTCCAGCAGAGCCCCACAGTCTCCAGTGCTGACCCTGCCTGGGCTTCCTAATCTTGAGGGGGACACCTCTCCACTACCTCACCTGGAGGGAATGGGGAACCATACATATGAACCCAAAGTGAAAGGGCTCTGACCCCAGGTGGCTATTCGGGCTAGAGAAGGACATGCAGAAGACAGACATCCATTACCACTCCTTGACTGGGGAGGGCAACTTCAACTGGAGGTTCATCTTTCCCATGGACTACCTGGCAGCTGAGGGTGTGTGCATCCAGAGCCAGAAGGTAACAGGCCTGGGAGTGGGAGAAGAGGGGGCAGCCCCAGGGTCCAGGAGCTCCTCATCCCCTCCCCAGAGACTAAGTTATGACAGGGGTACATCCTCAGATGGAGACTCTTCCTTGATAGTCCATCACTGCAGGGTGTGGGCTAGTAAGGTTTCTAAGGGAAATGCCAAGGAGGCAGGCTGGGGGACATACTCTTCTGCCATTTTCTAGGATTACATATGGAGCCTGGACCCCACATTGATGAAGTACCCAGCCCGGCTAATCATTCAGGTCTGGGACAATGACATCTTCTCTGCTGATGACTTCCTAGGTGAGGTCCTGGCACACGGTATGTGACCACAGGTCAGGGAGCTCCTCCTTGCTGATGGCATTTCTCTGGTCTCAGGGGTCCTGGAGCTGGATTTGTCAGACATGCCCTTCCCAGCTCAGCATGCCCACTGCTGTACACTCAAGATGATGGACAATACAAGCGCCCAATACAAGCACTTCTCCCTCTTTAAGAAGAAGGTTGTAACAGGATGGTGGCCTTGCCAGGTCTACAACGAGGACAAGTGGCGCATGTCGGTAGGAGCAGGGGAAGGTGTCAATTAAATAGGACTGCTCTGCCCCGTGACTCGGCTCTAACAGACTCTGGGGGACCTTAGCTAAATCCCTTTTCCTCTCTGGATGCTGGGATGTGGTCCTAAAGATACTTGCTCCTGATGACTTGAGCCTCCTGCCCTGTGGTGTTCCAGGGCAAGGTGAAGATGACTCTGGAGATCCTGACAGAGAAGGAAGCCCTCATCAGGCCAGCCGGGCGAGGCCAGTCGGAGCCCAACCAGTACCCCACACTCCACCCTCCCCCGTAAGGGCCCTGGGGCACAGTCTGTCTTCTCGGTTCTAGGAGGTAGTGAACAGGAGCCTCCACCTGGGGAGGGGTGGCTTCTTCCTTACCACAGCTCAGTTAAAATCAGGAGAATGGATTTGGGCGTGGGGGACACCCCCTCTTGGTTCTGCATCCTTGCCCTCTGTTCTTGGGCTTCTCCCTATCCTGGACAGACGTGCTGGTGGTCCTTTAATGTGGATGAGATCACCTATTAAAAACTTCTGCTTCGCTTGCTGGAAACGCTACCGATTCAGAATTGTAGGCCTCATGTTCCTATCAATAGCGGTATTCATGCTGTTCAAATTCATCTATGCAGCTCCGGTGAGTGGCTACCACAGGGACAGGGATAAAGGCACTGGTTGGTCTTGGGAAGACTCTGCAGAAGATGCCCTAGGGTTGCCACTTCAGACTAACTCCACTGTCTGTTCTCTCTAGAGCTATCTGGCCATGAACTTGATCAAACCTGAATTTCGGATGGGACCTCCCCCCATTAAAATAGTTAATGTCATGAATCCACAAAACCCAAACAAGCCTCCCAGCTCTGCTGCCTAGGATCCCATTCTACAGCCTTCAACAGATAATGAGCTGAAACCCCACCCTGGACCCAAGAATCACCCTAGTATTATCCTTCCAGAACTTCCAGCTCCATAAGACTAATTTGCCCACACAGGCCTGGCTTTTCTCCTCCCTGCCACGAGCCTTTCCCTCGGGCTTCCTACCAGGTCCTTGTTTCTGTCTTCTACGACACACACAAGGGCTAGGTATATTCTGGCTACTGTGCTCAGAAACCACTTCCAACAAGAGGAGCAGAGTTGTAATTTTCCACTGAAATAAACAAGTTTTATAAAGAGAGCCACCTTGTAATTTGGGGGGGGGGGTAGTTGAAGACAACACGAAAGGCTGAAATCGTCAGCTCTTCAGACAAGACTCACGCTGATGTCACCTCTACACGTGCCCTCTAGACCTCAGGGTCTCTTTTGCACTGAGAAGCTTTGTCATCAGAGGAAATGAAGGGAAGGATGACTAGGAGACAGAATAAACTGTCCCAGATCAACAGCACACCAAGTCCACTGCTGTCACCCCAAGTGTGCATGCCCAAGAGTCACCCCAGAGCAGACGCCACCCTCCTACAGCATACACCTGGGGTGACAGTGCCCAGAACAACATTCACGCCCACTCATCAGGGAGAACATTTGTTTCTAGAACAAAATGCAAGAGCCCCAGCAGGACACACAAGAGCAGGCAGTGTGAGGTTCTGGCCCGTTTCCTCTAAGGCAGAAGCCCAGCCCGAGGCCAGTGGGGACTGCACTCCTGGCTTCCCTACCTTCTTCAGAAAGCCTCAAAGTGCTCCCCCCATGGGGTATGCTTCCTCACCCCTCCTCTATGCTGAACCCCTTCCACTGCACCCATCTTGGCCATCTCAAGGGCCCACCTAGTTTCTCTACTCACAGACCCTCCTGTCCTCCCCTGACCTCCAATAGACAAAACATTTTTTTCCCCAATTCTCCCTGGTCCTAAGGCCAAGCTCTAGGTCCCCATCTGTCCTCCACTGCCCTGGAGCAACCCCATTCTTGTGAGGAGGGAGTCAGGAGGACGGTGTGGCCTCCACTCCACCTGCATCCTGCCGCCACAGGGCAACACAGCCTGTGCTGCCTGAGGGAGCAACGGGAAGGACCCAAGTGCAGCAAGATGACCCCTTTCCTTCTGGGCTGAGCTGAGGGCTTTGCCACCCCAGGACAAGATTTGTTGGGTCTGAGGCTTAGGAAGCAGCTTGGACCTCCCCCTTAATCCATCCCCAGAAGCAAGGACACCAAGAAGCTCATGATTGGTTCCAGAAGCCACTTTTAAGAACTCCCCTCGGGCTTCAGAGGCACATAGGAGAGGAGTTCCAGGCCTTCCAAGGAGACTGGCCTGTCACCACCAACTGAATCACAGGGCAGACAGGTGAGCAGCCTGGGACCCCTTGTCAGGTAAGGCAGTGGAACAGAGCTGACACCCAGAGGACAGCACCCGGGCTGAGCTGCTCAGTGACCCGGGACTCTTGCAGGCACAGATGATGAGGATCTTTTGCTCTCAGATTTTCAACATGAGAACAGCAGCTATTTCTTCTCCATTAAGGAAAGTCAAATTCCCTTTAGGGAGAAGATCTAAGCCCAGGTAATAAGACAACTTCCTGACACTTCTGACACTCAAAATGGAATTCTAAACATCATGATAAACACAAAACATGAAGCTAAACAGGTTCCAGAAAGTCTGTACAAACATCTCCAAGTGGTCAGACCACATGATAAATGTTGCTCTCTGTCTCTCTCCTGGACCCAGTCAGGTTCACAGTCCATCTCACGGTGTCCATGAAGTCTTCAAAGCTCCCCTTGACTTGCACACTAACTTTCTGCCAAATTTGACCAATGGCCTCAAGGGAGCTGATTAGGATGGGCACCCACACACAAACCAAACCAAGACCCACACTAGAAAACAAAGGCTAAATTGAGCCAAAGCAGAGAGCCCTGGGGTCACCTAATGAGGGTCAGAAAGCTAAGTTTGCTCTGCAGCCCCAACACAGAGGAATCCAAACATCTCTTCTAGCTTAGGTGGCACATACAGAGGACAACGAATGGAGGGGAGGCACATAGGAAGGATTCAGCAGGAAAGTTTCCACCCAGGTTTCCAAGGAAAGCTCCTTGGGTGGATAGAAGCTTGGGCAAAAGACAAAACCCAATAAACACATGTCCAGAAGGTGAGCTACCAGTTTTCTATTCTCTGTGGATTCAAAAACGAAGGAGAAAGGCCTGCTGAGTCCAGTCCAAGCCTGGGCTGTCCAATCCTGTTCTGTGATCGTGGCATCACGACAGCTGTATTCTTTTCATGCCTCTTCACTCCCAAGTGGAAGGACTGCAGGGAAAGGCACATCACAGCAGCATTTTCCTGGAGTGAGTGGCTTCTTGGACCAGGTTAGATGTCCCCATGGATGACCATGGGAATACAGGGTTCTTGCATTCAAAGCTCCAGTGACAGTACACAGTCCCTGACCAGATGCTGAAGACTGGAACAGATTCGCCAGACTGCGAGCTCAGGCCAGCATCTGCTCTGCTCTCACCTCATGGGTGTCAGTCACAGAGGTGGTGGCAGCAGGAGGGCTCAGTAGAAGCGCTTTCGACTCTGTTCTTGCCATTTGTTGTAGAGTATGATACCAATGACAATGGCAAATACAGAAAACACCAGAGAGAAAAAGACGATGAGGAAGAGGGCCAGGCCACTCAAAGGCGGCAGTGGGGCTGTCACTGAAGAAGCAAGAGGGAAAATCATCAGAAACATGCCACCCACTCAGTGGCGAGGGGCAACTAACAGGTGGCCTAGCCCCCAGGTTCCCATACCCACTTCTGAGGAGCTAGAGCTCACACTCCCCGCTTCCAGATGGCTCAACATTAAAATGAAGCACTACGCCTGCTGTTCATCGGTACATGGAAAGGCAGGGTAAGTGCTCTGAATTCTTCAGACCAATTACAGAGAAAGGACACCGCCCTGCATGCTGGGGGTGCAAGGCACCTCGACCTCAGGCAGCCTCCACCCCCATGGGACCACTCCCCAGGTCTCCGCACTCACTGTCAGGCAACTTCATATTGTCTACCGAGGGCAAGAACACGTCTCGATGCAGCTTCTCCTCTTCTGGGGTCCTTTCCACTGTCAGCTCAAACAACTTCAGAGAAATGACATCATGATTATCTATAAGACAAAGTAAGAAAGCTTATTCTAGCCACCAGAAAATGGGGCATCTCAGAATTAATATCTTGGTTCAAGTTTCTGATCCATGGTTAACTAGCAGCGACCTTAAAGTAATAATTGAGCTGGGGTAATCCCAATGACTTTGGAGGCTGAGGCAAGAGGATTCCAAGTTCAAAGCCAGCCTCAGCGACTTAGCAAGGCCCTACGCAACTCAGCAAGATGGTCTCAAAATTTTAAAAAAAATAAAAATGGCTGGGGAATGTGGCTCAGTGATTAAGCACCCCTGGGTTTAATTCCCAGTTATTAAAAAAAAAAAAAAATTGAAAACTCTTCATCTTCTCATCTAAAAATAAGGATGGGGAGGACAGGGCATATTTTATATTCTTCTGTTTTTTTAACCAACAAACATTCATTACTTGTATAATTAATTTAGAGATAATCTTATGAAAATTAAATGCCATACCATAACTAAAACCTTCTACCAGAGTGAGGGGGGAGAGAGCACTGTAGCTCTCCCTTGGTAAAGATCACACACATGATGCAAACACAGACAGAGCAGGAAAAGGTCTCTTGGCAGCTGTTCATGGGAGATAGGCAGAACACAGATTTGGCATGGAAGATACTGTCCCTCCGGATGCTACCTATTTCTCCATGGCTCTGGGGAATTATTACTAGTACCTAATATACCAGATCCTAATTGCCAGTACCTAATATACCAGATCAAGGAATTAGAAACTGGATTTCTCTTTCCTTCTCAAGCATCATTATAAACTCACAGATTTAAAAGTATTTTGTTTCAATGCACTGGCATTATTTTCCTGATATTCAACTCAACCCATCTTTGTCAGTGGGAGCTACTTAAGTTGGCTCCTGGGTCCTTTTAAATGAACCCAGAAGTTTTTGATATTTTCCTCACTTTTCTGGAAAGTTCCAGGCTTGTACATTTCCTGTCTCAGACTTGGCATCAGCCATTTCTTGAGGAAGTTCTGTTCCTTTCAGTGGGAATTGGTATGAAGAGAGCACAAATGTAAGTGTGAGGGGTACTTATTGCTTTAAGGTGGGTTATGGACTGGGGTTTGAATTTCTGGTCATTTCTATTATTATGATACCATACATAGCTGATAGCTGCTTGGACTACTAAAATCTTTTTTTTTTTTTTTGTACTAGGGCTTGAACTCAGGGTGCTTTACCACTGAGCTACATGCCTTTCCTTTTTCTTACTTTATTTTTGAGACAGATTTTAAGTTATTGAGGCTGACCTCAAACTTATGATTCTCCTGGATCAGCCTCCCAAGTCTCTAGGATTACAGGCATGACCACTGTACCTGTTTAGCAGTTTCTTAGCTAGTATAAAACTGGCTTTATTTGGAAAAATGTTTTAGCTATCAGAGCTGAGCTTAAACTGTGGGACAGGATAAAAAGCCAGGGCAATGCTATTCACAATGCAAGGGCATGAGAGAGATGGGCAATGTCTCAACAATGTCTCCGCACTTTTCAAAAAGCCACTGTACAACAAATGAGATGATGCCAACAAGAAAGGCCTTAGAATAAACACAATTTGCATTTAGGAGTTTTATATAGGCAGAAAATACAGACTTACTAAGCTAGGAATTATCACTGAAAACCTAAGGCAAATACCTCCTTAGGATACACAAAAAATTCCCTCTCCTGCCTTTTTTGGCAGCTGGGAACAACTTCCTATTAAGAAGGACATGAGGGGGAGGGGGGCCGGGCTGTGGCTCAGTGGTAGAGCTCTTGCCTAGCATGCGTGAGGCACTGGGTTCGATCCTCAGCACCACATAAAACAGTAAACAAAATAAAGGCATTCTGTGCATCTACAACTACAAAAAAAATAGTACATCAGGGCTGAAGTTGTAGTTCAGTGGCAGAGCACTTGCCTAGCACATGTGAGGCACTGAGTTCGATTCTCAGCACCACATAAAAATAAATACATAAAATAAAGGTATTGTGTCCATCTACAACTATAAACTACAACTATAAAAAAGTCTATCAGTAAAAAGACCCCCCCCCCCCCAAAAAAAAAAAAAAGTATATCAGGGAGTCAACCTAGAAACCCATGAGCTCAAAGGAACACAAGGGAGTGATTTCAGGCCAGGCCTCCCGTCCCTGTGCTGAGGTTAACCCTGTCCCACAGCTTTGGCCTGCACAGTATTCAGATCCCTACTGCCCAATGAATCTCCATGGCAGGAAGCACACCAACGGCTGCCTGGAGCCAGGGCGGGAGGAATACTGCCTAGGGGCATAGGGAACTCCAACTCCTGAGAGGTGATAGCAAGTTCCACATCTTTACTAGGAGGTGGTTATGCAGGTGCAAGTATCTGTAAAACTCTTCAAACTGTACACCTCTGATCTCTGGAGAGCATACCTCAATACAGTTGATTTCTTTTCAACAACAAAAAAAATAGTTTCCAGGGATTTTAAAATCCAAATATTTTATTTAAAAAATCCACATTTCCAGCTTCTCTTGAAAAACTGGAAGATCTCGGAGATTTGGCCTCATGAGCCCACATTTCCTTTTCTTTTTTTTGGATACTAGGGATTGAACTCAGGGACACTCAACCACTGAGCCACATCCCTGGCCCTTTTTGTATTTTATTAGGGTCTCACTGAGTTGCTTAGGGCCTCAATTTGCTGAGACTGGCTTTGAACTCGCAATCCTCCTGCCTCAGCCTCCTAAGCCACTGGGATTACAGGCAACTGCCTATTCCAAGGTGGGCACTTGTCTTTCCATTTTTCCACAAGAAAGTTCTATTTAAAAATCAAGCTTTATCCATAATAAAGTAATTAAAAGAACCCAAAGTTCGGTTCCTTATCTCTTCCCAAAAGATGTTATGACTGGGGCTAAAGACAAGTGGAAGAACGAGCACAAAGGGAAGCTATGACTGGGCACAGAGAGGATGAGAAACCAGAGAAGACAGAAAAGTGGGACCAGGCACTGCTGATGCCACAGAAGCCAAGGAAGGCAAGTTCCCGAGCCCGCAAGTACGTGGGCTGACCGAGGCCAGGAACAGAACACCGCAAGTAGCAAGGAGATTAGAAGTAACTTCCGTGAGAGCAGTGTGACAGTAAGGTAGAGACACAGGTTTGAGAACAGCCTGGGAAGGAGACTGAGGACCAGGAATAAAAAGCATCTATACACACAACACATCCAAAAGTCTGAGCAAAAGGGAGTCTGGGGGTCAGTCAGAGAGGGATGGCAGAGTTAAGGAGCAGCTTTGGGGTTTTGTTTTATTTGTCTTTTGTTTTTTTCAATCCCCTTGGAGACTGAACTAGGGGTGCTTTACCACTGAGCTATCCCCCCAGCCCTTTTAATTTTTTTAGTTCAAGACAGGGTCTCACTAAGTTGCTCAGGCTCACCTGGTACTTGTGATCCTCCGGCCCCCACCTCCCGAGTTGCTGGAATTAAAGGTATGCAACACTGCACCCAGCAAGGAGCAGCTGTTAGAAGAAGGGGAGCTGGGCACACTAGCAGGTGCTGGGAGAGGGCCTAACAGCAGAAGCGGGTAGAAGAGACAGGGAAGCACGGTGTGCAACACCCAGGCCGAAAGAGCCAGCTGGCTGAAGAGGCAAACATTCTGGGTGTTAGCACCCACCATCTCCTGGAGGCCACTATACCAGAACAGCCTGGCCTGGGTTCTGAAGGGATCTGGATGTGAGAATGTAGCATTCAGAGCTCCGCCTCCCAGTCAGGCTGTCCCCTCTGAGAGGGCCTCATAAAGGTCTGGGTACTTAGAAACCTTAGTCAGGACCAATGAAGAGTGCACACAGCAGTACCTGAGAGATCCCCAGTGATGGAGGAGGTGCCAAAGTAGTAGCCACGGGGCAGACGAACCCCAGGCACCTCAATGCAGTCCCTCCACTCATGCTTGCCATCGATATCCATCATTATCTAGAATAAAAAGAAGAAATCAATCAGGGACAGGCCACAGGAATAGGAGTAAGACAGCCCATACCACCAACTGGTCCACGATAGGGACTCACCGTCAGATGCCTCTTGACATAGCGAATCACAAGGAAGGTATCATAATGGAGATTGCGGACAATAGCTGTACATCCCCCCAGCTCTGTAGGCCGTCCATCTCGCTCATGATCATAGCTGAGGGAGCCGTTGTTCACCATGGCTGAGATGTAGGGGAACACCCGCTGGGACACAGAGGGAAAAGCAGACACAGTGAGGGAGGAAGAGCTCCTGGAAATGCCCACATTACTACAGGAATTTTGCACTTTACAAGCGGAGCCTCTTCAGCAGACCAGATGACCACTGTTCCTCATTAGCAGCCCTGGGGCACCCACAGTCAAACATTCACTCATGGGACATGGACCTAGGAAGCCATGAACTCCTTACTTACCTTCAGTAATTCTCTTTGTTCCTGATCTGGGGTGGGCCTGGGAAGGCCCCTGTGAGATTCTGGAGTTAGTTCAATTCCTCCCAGAGATCGCCATTTGGTTGGCACTTACATACTATCCAATATCCGGGGTTCCTATTTTATGTATATATTCCTATCTTTCCACTACCTCTTGGAGCAAAATAACCATTTATTATGGTTCTTCCCAGATCCTCACTTCAGTCCCATTCATCCCCCACTCTACTCCCCAGCTAAGTGTTTTGCACACAGCAGGTATTTTGAAAATACCTACTTGACTTGGCAGGGAAATCCTTCTATTCAGGATAGTTCCTTTCAAATTCTAAAATCCTACAAGCAGCATATGATGCTAAGTGGATTAAGACTCAGAAAGCACACTGCCAGAACCCAGCTGCTGGACAGGCTTAACCAGCCACGATGACTGTTCTTAGTCAAAAGCCTTTGCAGCCCAGTTAAGCCTCGTCCACACATAACTTCCTCCAATAATGCTAGTCATGAGAGGGCAAGAGTACCCTCCCCGCACCACAGGGGAAAAACTAAAAGCTTCCCTATAACCGTTTCCTATCTATACCAATGATCTCTAACAGAGTTGCAGGAACCAATTCTTCCTTAAAATTGTTAATCTAACCCTTCTAGAACAAGCCCCATGCCAAGGCAATGCAGAGAGACAGGGTGATGAAGGGGAGGTAACACGAGGCATGCCACTCTGTGGGTGAGCTCCCTGCGGTCTCAGCCAACATGCAAGGTGGAGATGCAGTCGGGACCAGAGACTGGGGACCCCTGAGACAACAGCCACATGGACTCTAAGCAGCAACGAATGTTGGATGGACACAAGGGAATAAGGGATGGCCATGGGGGGTGGTCAAGAACTGAGTACCTGGACTCCTGGAGAGTATCGCCTCTTCTGGGCCTGAGAGGGTCCAGCAGGTTATTAGACAAGAGAGGGCACAGAAGACAGAAGACCAAGTCAGAAAGCAGCAGCCATGGGGGAGCTGACCCAGCTGCAGTGGATGAACAAACAAACTGAAATCCCCAAGCAGAATTTTAGATTCCATGAAGGGCATTCAGCAAGTCCTGGCACCCCCTCAAATTATATGCAAAGTCATATGCACAAGTGTTTGGGCATCTTTTTGAGAAGGTCTGATCCTGTCATCAGATTGTAAAAGGAGTCCACTAGGAAGACCTCTCTATTCTAAGGGTCCTGAAGCTTTCAGAAGGAACTGTATAAAAAAACAGTGTCTCACTGGCCAGACAGGCCGTACCTATGTGCGTCTCTGGGAGTCAAACAGTCACAAGGGAGACAGGAAAGGCAAACAGGGCTAAATTCTAAATTCAAGATGTCTTTTGCTACCCAGGGTCTTGAGATACAACTCTTGCCCAGAAGACAAAAACCCCACTGTTGGAGGGACTATGAATCAGCTTTAATCCAAAGGAATCATTGAAATCAGCTTTAATCCAAAGGAATCACCCTCTATTTGAGCCAATGGATGTTTATTTTCAAACAACTGTTGTCATTCTCACCTACAACACATGGGCAAGGAAGAAGCCCTGTGGGAGCACCATAGCAGGAAAGACCTAGCAGATCCTCAGGCTGGAGGGTATCAAGCTTTGTTCCAGACAGCCTCCACGCTCTGAAGGAACAGCATCAAGAGAAAGCTACACAGACTCAACTGAGTCCTGCCCTGTGGGAAAGGTGGGCAGTACTCAGTGAGCATCCACCACCAGCCAGGCACTGTTCCAGATGCCGGGGTCCAAAGGAAAACAAGACAGATGGGGATCTGCTCTCACGGAGCTGACATTTAAGTGAAAGAAACAAACAATAAGCAGATAAATAAATGTTTTCAGATGGTGATAAATGCTATGATGAAAATAACGTAGGAACATGACAGAGACTGACGTGGGAACTCTCTGAGGAAGCAACACCTGAACTGAGACCAAGTACTTAGAGGGAGGCCACCACCAGATATGGGGCACAAGAAGCATGAGGTCGGCAAACATGAGGAACTCAAAGATGACAAGTGTGTCTGAGCTAATGAGGAAGTGGCCGGGGTGGGGAGGGGCAGGAGCCACAGCAAGGAGTCAGGTGGAGGCCCCAGAGCAGCTCCCCAGCTGTTTTTACTCCAGTGCCAGTACAGGATACAGAAAGGCATGCAGCCAATCACCAGATGATTAAATTGCCATAAAATTACTCTTCTACACTATCATTTGTGACAAGAGAACTGCAAGCATATCATGCAGTTTATATAGAAAAGGACTTCTGAGAAAAAACTCGCAAAGTCAGTGAACAATTAAAGAAAAGAAGGGATTAAAAATATCTTGGAGAGCTCTGATGTCCCCACAGCTTGCTTCCTGTATCACCTCTAGTGCCACCCCCACCCCCATCACAAATTTAAGCTGAGCCAGGTGCCATGGTGTCTGCCTATAATCTCAGCTACTGGGGAGGCTGAGGAGGGAGGATTGCAAGTTCCAGGCCAGCCTCGCTAACTTGGCAAGACCCTCTCAAAATAAAAAGGGTGGGGATCTAGCTCAATGATAGAGTGCTTACCTAGCATGGCCTGGACCTTGGGTTTGATCCCCCTAGCTCAATGATAGAGTGCTTACCTAGCATGGCCTGGACCTTGGGTTTGATCCCTCTTATCCCCCGTAAAAAAAAAAAAAAAAGGTTAAGCTGCAACCTTACAGAGTGCCTAGGACAGCAACCTTCAGCCTGAGAGTACCTTACTCTTTCCAAGAATGGTGTGACATCCAATTGTGTGATCACCGCCAGGTATAACCAGCACTTCAGGATCACCTGGGAGAGCTTTCCATCTGCACGCCTATGTGAGTGCCCTAGTCAGTGACTCATTCATTAGGTCTAGAATGGGGCACAGGAGTAGATATTTTGTAAAAAGCACCACAGCACACGGATGTGCAGCCAATGAAATGCTGCACAGTCACAGCCCCATGGCTCCACAGATGTCATTATTTTGCTTCAGCAATTCACGACTTGCCTTCAACTTTTAACCCCACATTAGTAGCTAGTCGTTAAATGCCGGCCTACTTTCCATCCCTAGGCAGAAGTTCCCGAATGTTTCTTGGGTAGCCACTAATTTCACACAGTAGTGGATTTTCCCCCTGGAAAGTAGTCTGTAGCTAGAACCAAAGGTTGAAAAATCACACCAATTCAGGCAAAGTGGTAGTTTCATTTCTAATTTAAGAGTCACCAGAAGTCAGGAACTCCTACCTATTGTCCAAATGATGATTTGCAGGGTAGAGAAATGTTTTTGACTTTTTGTACAAGGTCACTACAGGATCATTTTAGAGGATAATTTTGCCTCTAACACATGTTGTTTGAACAATGAGCTTGTGGATTCAGTGCTAAAACTCCATGGATCCCAAGTACACAGGATGTAAACCCTTAGATACAAAAAAGACGGACTGCCAGGCATGGTGGCACATGCCTGCAATCCCAGCAGCTCTGGAAACTGAGACAGGAGGATCGTGAGTTCAAAGCCAGCCTCAGCCAAAGCAAGGCGCTAAGCAGTGAGACCCTGCTGGGGATGTGGCTCAGTGGTCGGGTGCCCTGAGTTCAATCCTCAGTACTCTCCTCCACCCCCAGGAAAAAAAAAGATAGACTAAACCAGGTACAGGTATGCACACCCAAATCAGAGCAACTCAGGAGCCTGAGGCAGGAGGATCGCAAGTTCAAGGCAAGTCTCAGCAGACATAGCTTGGCTGTCTCAAAATAAAAAATATAAAAGGGGTGCTGGGGCTGTAGCTCAGTGGTAGAGTGCTTGTCTAGCACATGTGAGACACTGGGTTCGGTCCTCAACACCACACAAAAATAAATAAAAGTAAAGGTATTGTGTCCATCTACAAAAAAAAAAAAAAAAATTAATAAATAAATATATAAAAGGGTTGGGGATGTGGCTTAGTGGTAAAGCACCCCTGGGTTAAATCCCCAGACCAGAAAAGAAAAAAGATGGGCTGGTGGTGTAGCTCATGGCATAAGCACCTGTCTCACATGTGGACCCTGGGTTTGATTCCCACGGTGACAAAAAAAAAAAAGAAAAACAGCACACAAAGCCTCTATGATCAGAGGCTTGTGCTGTTCTGACGGCTGCATAACCTGTGTGGACCCCATCACCTCTTTGAGATTCTACTGGAAACAAAGAGAATCCTGTACAGCTCACTGGTTTAACCACAGGATGAAATGTGTTTTAAGCATTTAGTACAGCGTCTGGCATTCAGGAAGAAGTCAATAAATAATCAATTGACAGTTGAACTAATAAATTTCTAGATACAAAGTTCAATGTCCAACATTCATTAAGGGCAGTAATTCTCAGACCCTTGGCTGTCATGAATCAGTAAAATTTCCAAAAGCATTTTGAAGAGTAATCAGCTCAGTGTTTTGTTTTCATAGTATATTAAATATATTGATATATAATAATAACCAAACAATCATCTATAGTACACACCATTTTACAAAAGGTCATTTTAACACCAAAAATGAAAAGGGACTATGTAGCTTCATAACACAGCAACTGAATACTCTTAGTACTTATGCAAAATTACTGCACTGTTCTGATTCTTGGGCCAGTGAAAAGCTGTTGCCAATAGCACGAGTTTATGATCCAGCATCTGAGAGCCTCTCTCTTTCAGACCATACTTCAGTCTGCTAAGCTGCCCATTTGCTCTCTGAAATGCCAATGTGAAGAAAAGAAGAATGGGAAAGGAGGAGAGAATGGTGCCACAGTACTACTGCCAAGATGTCTGCAAAATGTTCCTGAGGAATCCCCTTAACAGTATGAACAGCAGCCAGCATTGACTGACAGCGTGCACTGTGCCAGGCACTGGCCTCAGTACCCAACACACCTGTATTCCCTAAATTCCCACAACCTAGTGGGCAGCAACAGTATCCCCATTTCACAGGTTAGAAAACTTGTCCAAGAGGACACAGGTATTCAGTAGTGAAATCAGGATCTGAAACCTAGTAGTCTGGCTCCAGAGCCCTGACTCAATCACCATGCTTCATTTTCCTATCAACATTAAAAAAAAAAAGTCTCACATGTACTATTAAAAAAAAAAGGACAAGGGTCTAAAAAATACCCTAATATGCAAAGAAAACTGCCAGGCACAACGGCACATTCCTGCAATCCCAGTGACTGGAGAAGTAGGAGGACTACAAGTTTGAGGTCAGTCTCAACAACTTACATGAGATGCTGTCTCAAAATAAAAAATAAAAAAAGACTGGGCATATAGCTCAGTGGAAAAGCACCTCTGGATTCAGTCCCCAGTACAAAAAGAAAAAGAAAAAGGAAAAAACGCACACAAAAAACTGATGCAGAATGGCTCCAGATTAAAGGACAGGAGAAACATAACAACCAAATGCAAGGTATGACCTGGGTTCCTTTTGCTGTAAAGAACATAATGGGACAACTGGTGAAATCTGAATAGGGCATAAAAATTAGATAACAGGGCTAGGGTCATAGCTTAGTGGTAGCGAGCTTGCCTCACATGTGAGGCACTGGGTTTGATCCTCAGCACATATAAACAAATAAATAAATTAAATAAAGGTATTGTGTCCATCTACAACCAAAAATGTTTTTTAAAAAAAATATTAGATAACAGTACTGTTATTATTATTATTATTATTATTTTTAATATTATTTTTTAGTTTTCGGCAGACACAACATCTTTGTTTGTATGTGGTGCTGAGGATCGAACCCGGGCCGCACGCATGCCAGGCGAGCGCGCTACCGCTTGAGCCACATCCCCAGCCCAGTACTGTTATTATTATTAAATTTCTGACTTTCATCATCTTGCAATATAAGAGAACTCATTTTTAGGAAAAACACATGTAATTAAGATTAAGAAGGCACCACGAAGGCTAGGTACTCTTAGCTACTTAAGAAGAAAATAGACACACAT